GTTGCTGGAATTTTGGGATGTTATGTCTATAGCAAACTTGTTAAAGATGAGCTTCGGGTGCTCATTCTGACGTGAACTTTGGGTCACGGCTTTGACCTCAACTTGAGGTTGGTATATCTTTACACTCTTTCAGCCATAAGCGTTCAGAACCTCTATGCACTGATAAGCACCAGTTTTGTCATGCGACTATTTACTTGCTGATTCACCAGTTTCTTATCCTTAAATTGCTTCCCTTGATTCAAGGTTGCTGGGTCTGGGATTAGATATGGTAAGATTAAAGTGAAAAGAGTCACTTATGGCAGCATGTGACCTTTATCAATGGCCAAAGTAAAAATTTAATATATATGTGTTTTGCCTTATATTTGGATTTTAGATGTCAAGGGTGGAACCTTGTTCTCAAGATGGGGGGTGTGACACACCTCCCACTGTCTGGAGGTTGTCCTGTCAACTGGATAAATTGGGAGGGTCATCAGCTGATGGCTCTCACCTGGACCCATAAGCTATAAAAGCTGGCCCGTGTTTTCACGCTCTCCCTTCTAGCAGGTTACATCCATTCTGTGGCATCTTTTGTACTTGTGTTTATTTTAGTTTAATCAGTTATACTTAACTAAGTATCTTGTGTGAACTCCCTCTTTGTCACAGTTTGCATGTAGGTCAAGGTCAATGTAACCAGACAAAACAATGACAGGGGAAGTGTGTAGAGCTGGGTAGGCAATCACATTATGCATAGATAGAATTAGAAAACTGATTATTTTAGTGTGTTCCTCGTGCAAGTATTTTAGCTCTGACTCAGGTTTGCATGACCTGGTCTTCAGTGCAGAGCTGCCTTGCTTATAAAAACTGAAGAGGCAGGTGTCGTCCTAAAATTTGACTTCTATACAACAAACACCAATATGTATTAAAATAACTGCAAAAAATATTTCTGCATGCTCGCATTAAAGGCATCTCTGTCTCAAAGTCCCAGGCTGAATTTCAGTCCCAGTACACTCCTGCATCCATTAATATTAGTCAGTTTAGTTGAAAAACTTTACACATACGCTCTGACCTCACCTCCAGATGCAGCAGCACTCTTTTCTGAGGGGAAGTATTTTGTTAATAAAACAAATTTGATCTGGGGATGGTGCTACATAGAAAGATAGGGGATCACCAAATTTGTGACCATTCATCCTGACCTCTGTACCACATTTCATGACAATCTATTAAATTTGTTGTGATATTTCATTAAAACACATCAACCACATTGTCATAACTGCTGTCCCAGTCCTGTTTTGTCCATTCTACCTCTGTCCCTCTCTTCCACGTTCACTCTTCCCCCAGGCCCATGCATTATTTAGACATGACAGATTTGCCGTTCACAATCCATCCACCAGATGCCCTCACTTTCTCTCCGGCCTCAGTCATCTGATTCCTATATCTAACTACTCCCCTGTTTCTCATTTTTCATTGTGATCTGATACTTGTCCAGATATTTCAGTCTGGGACAAAGTGGTGGACTGTCAGAACCCACACTGACGTCCCTGGAGCTATACCCCAATCATATGGTTAATACAGACCAGAGAATACTATCTTTTATTTATATTGTCAATCTATTCCATATTTATATATCTGCATTTGTCATCTGTAGGTTTGTCTACGTGTAGCACCTTATCTTCAAAGCAAATTCCTCGTACGTGTAAAAACTACTTAAATAAATGCAATAAAGCATTTTCTGATAACATGTATGTGTAATTTTGAAGTTAATATACATAAATTCAAATGTAAAGATTTAATGTTCATTCTATCAAAGTATGCTTATTACGACAATGATGAGTTATTTAATGTTTGAATTACGATAGTCTAAGAATCACCCATTTACTAAGGAGGAGTCTCTTGTATTACTGCAGAGCAGATAGTGTCTGAGAACTGTTACATTCTGCTATAAACAAGTAAACATGGCTAAAACAGACCAGAGAAACATTAAAGATGGTGACTGCAATCTTAAAATGCCTGGAAGACATACAAATGTAAAAGACAGAAATTATGCAAAATTGTCACTGACAAAAATGAGACTAAAATGTATTCTGTTTTTGATGCCTTAAATTATAATGACTAAAAATGTGATTGAACTTAAATGTATATTAATTTTAAAAGAGTGTCAGTTGCCAAATTAACACACTATTTGGGACTACAGTTACCTGAAACAAGTACAACAAATATGCTTCACATCACTTTATTCCCTTTCGTTTCGATAGAAAGTGGTCAACTGCATAGATCACAAATTAATAATCTCTTTGTCTGAGTGAATGTCCCGCGTTGATCAGTTTTTAAAAAGCCATAGAATCTTTTCTTTGGAATTGAACTGATGTTTTGTTATGACATCAAGAAAGTAATAGCTAAGCTTGCTAGCTGAAACATTTCACAACCTACAAACCAGAGTTGGCTGAAGAAGTTATGATGTGGCATTTGGAAAAACTTTGCAAAATGTCATCAAGGTTAGCCAACTTTTTGACAACAGATAAAACGGGTAAGGAAAACTAAACACACACACAACCTGACAGGCTATGTACCACAGTCCTTTAACATAGATGTATGAAAACTCTTCTTATCCCTTCCGGGGAGAGTAGTTTCTCCTCTTCCTTGTTTTGTTATGGGGGTTGTTTTGAACACTGACTTTATATAATGTATTAATATTGTAATGACCACTTTTCCATGGGAGGCCCTACCAGAAGCACCAGCCTCCAGACAACACAGCCCTCAGGTTGATAGGGACACACAAACCTCTCCACCACGATAAGGTGATGGTTCCCGGAAAGGAACTTAAAGAGCTAGTACCTTACAATGAGAGTGTACTCCAAAAATGCAGGGTTACTTGTGGTTCCTGGAATCTCCAATAGTAGAATGGGATCCAGAACCTTCAGCTATAAAGCTCCTCGCCTGTGGAATCAGGTCCCACTTTGGGTTCTGAAAGCAGACACCATCTCATGTTTGTGCTGCAAAAGACCGACATATTAGCAACATAAGTTGCTACCTCAGTCGGGACTTCACTGGTGAATGTCTGAATTTAATCACATCACAGTTGCCCTCAAGATTCTTAAGAATGAGGATAGCGTGGTTGCTACAAGAGAGGTAGATTTAAAAAAAAAATGTTTTGATATGTGTCACTTAACATATGTAATGTTTCTTCTTTTCTTCAAAGATCAAAATGCTGGATGTTGTGAGTGTTCTTGATCCAGTCAAAGAATGTGATTCAGTTCTTTGAGAAGTTTTAACTCAAAGGACAAACCTGTCTGGCTTTTGAAATGCTAGACAGTCTTTTTCTGTTGAGGGACAGACACTGGAAGCCATTGTCTCTCAGTGAGATATGGCAACTTGCACAGCAGGTGTGACTTTGAACCATCTATTAACAGGTAATACTTATCCAGCCAGTTGAGTAAGACATTTAAAACTGTGTGCACACATACGTATACCTGTGTTTGTTCTTGTAGCCTGCATCCTGGTCAAATGCATATTTAGTCATCCACACTCTGCAGTTGCTGACAGACTTTGACAGCCTGAATGGTGGGGTGGTGATGGCGCAATGGATAAGACGCCTGCCTTTGGTGTGAGAGACCTGGGTTCAATCCCCTGACTGTGACCCATCCACCAATGTGTCCCTGGGCAAGACACTTAACCCCTAGCTGCTCCAGAGGTGTGCGACCTCTGACATGTATAGCAATTGTAAGTCGCTTTGGATGAAAGTGTGGCTTGTGTGGCCATAGACATGTGGCAGTGTGTTTGCCTTCTTGTACCTCAGTGACTCGACAGGGGACTTTAGGAAGTTGGCTGCTGTGATTCTTTATATTCTCTGAGAGGCATTGTTGAAATACTGGGCCAGCCAGCTGACTAGCTAGCAAGATAACAGTGAGTGGTCAATTTATAATTTGCTGTGACACTGAGAGATGGGAAGAAGATAAACTGAACCTCCAAACACTTCAAATCCAGCTTTACCCAGAGATGCAAGAATCCATTGAGCTGGAGGAAATGGCAGAGGCTCAGCCACTCCTCACTCCTGTGACCGCATTACAAACATGCCTTCACCATAGATAAGAGCCGCACATCCTGGTACTTTGCCCTTGTATCATGCTTCAGGCCCTTTTGGGGTAAAAACAGCCCCTCTATCTTGACTGCCGGTAAAAAGCAAATTATGAGGTGTTGGCCAATTTAATAGCATAAAGGAGCGGAGTCTCCACCGTGCTGAGTCTGGGAAACTGCTCTGCATGTTAGCTTAGCTTAGCAACATTTTGCTAACAAACAACATTGCTAACATAACTTACATTACTTGATGTGCTGTTGTTTGCTCTGTATGGTATTTGTCATGGTATTGTGTTTTTCTAGAATTGCATTACCCACCTTTAATTTATTATCAAAACAGTTGCAGATGAATTTAATGTCCATCAACTAAATGTTTTATCACTTGTTCAGATCCAGTCTCACCCAAGGTGTGATTTGTTGACAGTATTTACAGAAAGCAACTACAGAATATTTTGAGGTAAAAATTCTACATAAAGCCGGCCTACCTTGAAATGGTTATTTTCAGATGTCTCTTGTGTTTTAAAAGATTGTGATGTCTGTGCATCAGGTTGTCTTCATCTGGTCAAAATGTCTCGTACTGGCCTGAATCAACTGGGTTGATAGTGGCATCTAGATTTTACTCTTGTATCTATTATTTTAAGTTGTTTATTTTGTTTTTCAATTAATTGTTTAAATAATAATATTATTAAATATTAGATTAAGTAGGTTGACTTAAAATTGAATTGACTAGGCCTACAAATGAAACAGAAATCAAGCAAAAATGACTAGGGAGGAATATCAGTAAAACAAGTCATCAAATAATTTTTTTGTAATTAAAATGAGTGAAAACTGTCTTGTGTTATGTTTACCTCATGAAAAGACCCATCCAGCTGGGGGCGACAGTGTGTGCGCTCACACATATTTGGCCTTTTTGAGTTGCCTTACAACTGGCAGTACCCTCTCCCGCCGCCGGGTTACAACATCTAGATAACACAGCTTTGTTGCAGCCGTGAATTTCACACCGTTTATGCATCAGTCGGGCCCTGCAGGCCTATCAGGCCTGTGCCGAGTCACCGAACATCTTTATCTCAGTAATGGCAGAGCGGCTAATGATTCCTCCCAGGTGACTCGGTGCGAGATAACCTGCATCGTGAACGTTACTGAGACCAAGGGCAGTCCTCCTCCCGGGGTGGAGTACACCCACATCCCGGTCTCTGACTCCCCGATGTCTCCACTCTGCGATCACTTTGACGAGGTGGCAGATAAAATACAGATCACTGCAGAGTGCGGTGGCCGCACATTGGTGCACTGCAACGCTGGAGTGAGCCGCTCCGCCGCCCTGTGCATGGCCTATCTGATGAAGCACCGCGGTGTGACTCTCCTGGAGGCCCACAGGTGGGTGAAGACCTGTCGACCCATTGTGAGGCCGAATGATGGCTTCTGGAAGCAGCTCATCCGGTATGAGATGGAGCTTCGTGGGCATAACTCTGTACTAATGGTCTCCTCCTCCATGGGAGAGATACCAGACATTTATGAGGAGGAAGCCAGGAATATGATGCCCCTGTGAAGAACTTAATGAATGAATGTATGGACATCTACTGTAATGTCTGTCGCATAACTAGTGACAAAATGCTGTTTAGCCATGTGAAGAATATAAAGACTTAATGCGCTCCCTGATGAGTTATTATGGGCTTTTATAGCCTACCTCTACTCTAATTGTCTGACAGCTGTTATAGGTGACAAAAAACTTCTTAATTCGTGTAGTTTATTTTCCTGTCTTAATCATCTCACAATTAATCTGGTGACCCATTGGAGGGGGCCTGACCCTAAGCTAAACTATCTGTCTAAAGTAGATAACCTGGCTCCCCCTAGACCAGCTACAACAATAAAATGTTATGTATATTGTTGCATCAGTTTAAAATACTAATTAAAAATATATTACAAGGTAGATTTATTTGTCACAATACAAGTTATAGAGTGAAATTGAGATAAAAATGGTAAACAGAAATAAACTATGGAGCAGTGCTGAGGATGAATTTCAATTTAAAAGTCTGATTGCTTGGGGGAATAAGCTGCTCTGCAATCTAGTGGTGCAGAAACTTCTATCTCCTCCCAGAAGGCAGCTGGGTGAACAGGCTACGGCTGGGGTACTGTCCCATGTGTATATTAATGTCCTATATAACTATATCAGCCTTGGTTGCCATCTTTCTGCATAACAGGTAGGCTACTTTTTATAATTTGGATGCATTAGGTATATTTTGCAAGTAATTTGCTGTAGGATTTTGAATGCAGGACATTCTACCTTGTAAGTAAAGAACCTAAGTACTTTTTCTACCACTGAGTATAGGCTTGTATATAAGAAGCCCAAAATCATTAGAGCAGCAGTTACTTGTCAAGCCACTCAAGGAATCAAAATCATTTGAGACTACAAAGTACAAAAAGCTTTTATTTCAGAATCAGTGCTCATCTTAATTGGTTCAGCGCGCACACATTTGGGCAGTCATACATTGGAAGGACAGCAGGATGAACAGCCATTCCTAACAGAGATAAATGAGTACTTTATACTTATTGTAGTTATTTAGCTATATGGTCACTAAACATCTTGAAAATATGCTCCTTTCTGCCAGACTGTCCGAAAGAATGGCCCATTATGTTTTTTAATTCTTGTACTTGTGTGACTCAGGAACAGAGCAAAGTGTTGTAAACAAATCTGATTATTTTGTTTTCAGATTTCACAATAAAAATATTTTTTGGAACATAATATGGACTTTCTTCAAAGAAGCAAATGGGTTATTTCTTTTACAGGATAGGTTTCCATATATTATGACCACCACCCAGTAGAAATACTGTATAGGATCAACCAAGGAAACAGGCACAATACAAGAGTCATACATTGAATTACAGTAAAATCTTTCATGATTTGGCACAAGTGTGTCATCTCTGACCATAAATACACACATATCTACTCTAGAGGAAATATTTATACTAATATAGTGGTCAACCTATCCCCAGAGACATTTTTCCCCCATTAGTTCACTCCCAACAGTCAAACCAACACAACCGTTGGCCATCTTCCTAGTTTTTAGGTTATAATAGTCCACAGGTGTTAGCAGCCATACAGTAACCAACAGTAACCATTTAAACAACGCCAGTCACAAATTGTTTTGCATTGAAACCCCGTCTGGATAAATAAATAACGCATTTACATGTGTACCCAACACCTTGATAGCAGCTGAAACAACATCCAGATGTTTAGTTAATAAAGACTATTTCAACATTTTGGGAAATATGCTTGTTCCCATTCTTGCCAAGAGTTGGGTAAGAAGATTGATACCAGTCCTGTCTGTACACGAAATACGAAGCTACAGTCAGTCAGTCAGTTAGTTTAGCATAGCACAAATGCTCCTGCCTCCTGTAATAGTCCAATGCATAGCTTCTGTAACACCACAACATGATATTTTTACACTTAAAAAAAATGTTTAGTATGAATTAAACATATGAGTGCAGGGGCAGAGTGAGCTTAAGTTGACAGGCAGGTATGCCAGCCAATCATTTCATTTGGGCCGAATGAAATTATTGATATTATTCATTCATTTTCTAAAATGTTAAACGATTTAATCTGTTCAGCCTCTCTAGGTCTCAGCCTTTAAGAAGTTAAAGTGGGCAAGCACTGTACTAGTCTGCACTGTCTTATTTAGAAAATAACGGTTGCTATTACATTCATCTGGCAAACGCCATATGGCTGTGAACACAAGCAAAAATCATATTCTGATACTTTTGTACATCTAAATAGACTCAGTTTTAAATTTTCTTTAACATTTAAAACACCTTAAAGAAATTGTACACTGTCAATATTTTACAAAGATTCAGATGGCTTAATTTAGGTACATAGTGCGATCACTAACTTACTGTACAAACAAGTCTGGATCCAAACAGCTAATATTGTCTTTTGCTACTGAAATATCCTGAGTCAGGACCTTAGTCAGGTCAAATTAAAAGATTGCTTTAAAAGTGGAATAACAACACAAGTACAAAAACAGCATGCTTATTTTACCCTCACTGCCTTTCACTAATTCCCTCAATAAGGCAACAATGTCATCTGCATAGTCATACATTAAGCATCTAAAAGGTACAAAATAGAATAACATCAATTTAACACAAGTTGAAAACAATGCAGAGTACTTTGGGAAACATCAGTATCCATTCGCCCATATCTCACACAACCCCCAGTGTATTCTGCTGCTTGAGGCAATGCCTTCGAGATAAAGACTTCACATCTGAAAGAAAATGGAGAGAATTAAAAATGTAATGATACTGTATTTTAACATTTAAAAAAAGGAGGGGGTGTATTTCTTCAACAACTTACATGCTGTTCCAGCTTCTGGTATTCTGTGGTTTTAGGTCGACGTATGGATCTGGATCTCTTTCCTTCCAAAGCAAATGCAATTATCTAGGGAGAGAAAAAAGGAGAAAAGGTTGTTAGTAACTACTACAAATATGGATATAATTCAACTAGGAACCTATATAAGTAGAACTGAGAGATATCACAGACAACTTTTCTTTCTGTGTGCTCCATAATGCACCACAAAGTACTGGACAATTAAATTAAAATGCTTGAACTAACTAAAACTACTTTTTAGCACCTCAAAAAAATAACCGGACACTATGGGAAATTTGCTTACTCGTATTTTTGCCGAGAGTTAGATGAGAAGATGATATCGTTATAGTATGAAGCTACCGCCAGCAGCCGGTTAGCTTATCTTAGCATAAAGACTGGACATGGGGGGAAAAGCTAGCATTGCTTTGTAATGTGGTGTTTTTACACTTGTATTTTTAGTGCTTGTTTTTACAGTTAAATTGACCAGCAAATATTAGATAAACTATGATCCAATTAATCCACAGCATGTAGTGGAGACCTGAATGAATGAGGTCTGCAACAGAAGTAGCTCAGTAATATCTGGTTTTAAAAAAAACACATTTGTTGCAACAAGAAAACACAAACCAAACTGGTTGACACGCACACAAAATTATTCAACTCAAATCTGGGTCAGTGTAAACACAGGAAGTAGGCTTTAGAGAGGTCTGGGTGAGAACAAAAAGGCTAGGTACCTTGCGCTTGTTGTGGTAAGCAATGTAAAGCACTGCCACCATCACAGCTGTAGTGACAAGATAGGCAAAGAAATGACTGCTTTCTGCCTCATCCTTTATACCAGATGGGTCGTACTGATTTTTCACTCCTGTTTCTCTTTTTCTGCCATCGTCGTCTTCTGGCTTTTCCTCTGACTTTTCCTCCTTGCCGTTGTCTCCATCTAACTTTTTCTCATTGCCGTTGTCTCCATCTGACTTTTTCTCATTGCCGTTGTCTCCATCTGACTTTTTCTCATTGCCGTTGTCTCCATCTGACTTTTTCTCATTGCCGTTGTCTCCATCTGACTTTTTCTCCTTGCCCTTGTCTCCATCTGACTTTTTCTCACTGCCCTTGTCTCCATCTGACTTTTTCTCACTGCCCTTGTCTCCATCTGACTTTTTCTCACTGCCCTTGTCTCCATCTGACTTTTTCTCACTGCCGTTGTCTCCATCTGACTTTTTCTCACTGCCGTTGTCTCCATCTGACTTTTTCTCACTGCCGTTGTCTCCATCTGACTTTTTCTCACTGCCCTTGTCTCCATCTGACTTTTTCTCACTGCCCTTGTCTCCATCTGACTTTTTCTCACTGCCCTTGTCTCCATCTGACTTTTTCTCACTGCCCTTGTCTCCATCTGACTTTTTCTCACTGCCCTTGTCTCCATCTGACTTTTTCTCACTGCCCTTGTCTCCATCTGACTTTTTCTCACTGCCCTTGTCTCCATCTGACTTTTTCTCACTGCCCTTGTCTCCATCTGACTTTTTCTCACTGCCGTTGTCTCCATCTGACTTTTTCTCACTGCCCTTGTCTCCATCTGACTTTTTCTCACTGCCCTTGTCTCCATCTGACTTTTTCTCACTGCCCTTGTCTCCATCTGACTTTTTCTCACTGCCCTTGTCTCCATCTGACTTTTTCTCACTGCCCTTGTCTCCATCTGACTTTTTCTCACTGCCCTTGTCTCCATCTGACTTTTTCTCACTGCCGTCTCCATCTGACTTTTTCTCACTGCCCTTGTCTCCATCTGACTTTTTCTCACTGCCCTTGTCTCCATCTGACTTTTTCTCACTGCCCTTGTCTCCATCTGACTTTTTCTCACTGCCCTTGTCTCCATCTGACTTTTTCTCACTGCCCTTGTCTCCATCTGACTTTTTCTCACTGCCGTTGTCTCCATCTGACTTTTTCTCATTGCCGTTGTCTCCATCTGACTTTTTCTCATTGCCCTTGTCTCCATCTGACTTTTTCTCCTTGCCGTTGTCTCCATGTGGCATTCCATCGTTTGCTTTTCCTGTTGACTTTTCATGAGTTGTCTCTGCTGGTCCATTTTTCACACCATCAATAACAGCCATCTTTTGGTTCTTCCCAGCTTCACTGGATGATTTGTCATCGCTTTGTGTATGATCTGAAAGCTCCTGAGGTTTTTTTGTTGGAGCCCCTTTAAATAAGAAAAACAACAAATGTAGATTTTTAACCAGCAGAATACAGGGCATAACAGAAAAAAACAGAATATAATGCAATATAATAATAAATGCCAATTCATGAATGCTGCCTTTGTAAATTGGTGACCTAGACACATCTGCTTGCTAGTCCTTATTTCGTTCCCTTCCTTGTTTCCACCGCAGAATTTTGCACATTACTTTCCACTTCTCGTCTGTTCTGTTTCACCTTGTTAATAAGTCCTCTCTCGTCTTTTTGTTAGCGTTTCCACCATGATTACCAGTATATTAGCTGAGATGATTTAATTACATAATCATATCATCTGCTGTAAAAAGCATCAAATAAAGGCCATTACATTAAAGGCAAAGGAAGCAGCCTCCATGCGCTGC